TTCGCAATGTGTTGGAAATGAAATAAATTATTCATGTTTATGAGGTCAATAAACCCTTGAAGACGTTTCTTAAAACTGCTATTTGTACAGGCCTTGTAAAAAATCCCTAAAATCTAATTTTAAGGAGTTCAATACATATTTAGAAAAAAAAACTCTCTTCTATGGAACTCATTGCTCCCAAAGACTTGGAAAGATTCACAAAAACTTAACGTTATAGAATCAGGTTAACTCTGATCACTCAAACGTACTTGATCGTTTTATTCTTGAAATATTCCATTTAAAATTTCAGCAGTTTTATAGAAAGCGAATAGATATTCTTCCATGGAAAACAAAAAAATCGTTAAAAAAAAACAAAAATTTTGCCCTTCCCTAAATTGAATCTTCAAGCCTTAATTACAGAATATTGAATTGTATTCAATAAATTTCTACTCCCCCATATTAATTTTTATCATTTTTACCCCTTCACTGTACCAGAATTTGACCATTATTATTGTGGTCTCCCCCTTCTGAGTTTGGATTCCAAACCTCAGGCTACCTTAGCTCGCTCTGTCAGATTCTGCTCAATTGAAATGTTAGAAGGTAACAAAATCGATGCTCGAGGTTAAAAGAGTTCTTTTATGGTCGTCGACTCACAGGCACTTGTTGTTTGTATAGTTGTAAGCGAAGTCCCACAAGTTGTGTGTCCCTATCAATGGTTACTACCTATATGACAGAGGAAAAGAAGAAGAAGAAGCAGCAGAAAATCCATTCGTTATGCAGGTCATGCACATAAACAAAGTTAGTAGCAGAAGTGACTTTGAGGCGATATAAACTACACAACACAAGGATACACACACACGCGCACACGCACTCACACATATCTACGCGAACAACAAATTTACTCACCCACACTCGTCCACCCACCCCGGCATCTTAAGCATAAAGGACACAGGACTCTTTGCTATGTTCCATGAGGGTGTATGTATGGGTTTTCATTCGCCTTTGATTGGCCTTCTCCCCACTTCACAGCTATGCTGGGGAAGATCAAATATATATGTGTTGGACAGTGTACACCTTTGGCTCGCCTTTCTTTGTACACGTTGTTTCCGCCAATGTTGGAAGTCCTATACGTTCGTTTGTATGTGTGTGAGTGAGTTAGGGTGTGCAAGTGCGTTCATTTGTTTTTGTTGCAGAAAAAGCCAATTTGTACAAACTAACTATGCAATTTTGTGCTTCCTTTCATCACATCCCTGCACAGCTCCTGCAACAGTTAAATATTCCCACCTCTGGGCAAATGAAAACTAAATAGCCAACCGACCGGGCAAACGACCGACCGACAAACCAACAAACGACCCTCGTCCGCTAATAGAAAAGTCAGTTGCGTATAAATATGGGTTAGTGAAAGGTTATGGAGTGCCATTAGAAAGTAAGCGAGCGAGCAACAGCATCAATACGCACCAATTTGCTCGACTGCTGATGTTGTTGTCGATGTTGATGATGATGACGATGAAGTTCGCCATGATAACGCTGCGGTTTGACTGCAGTAAAATTTTATGTTTTCCATGTGCTCTAGATTGATTTATGTTTGGCTGGAATGTTGTCCACGCGTTTTGTGTGTGTGTCCTTTACGTTGATGTTTTTAGCTGTCAGATTAGGAATGTTGTTCAATGGAAATAACTTCATGATGCAGTGGAAACAAAATCTGTTAAATTAGCTATGACATGCGATGCAAGGGAATGTTATATAAGATATTGACGGGTCAGTTTTCTTTTAAGAGGAGCATAAAGTTCGAGGGTGGCGTATGATTAACCACAGTAATTATACGCAACCAGGTAGGAATTCCATTTTTTGACTACAATATAAATGTTGGAAGGATAGGGGGAAGTTTAATTGGGTTTCACAAAAAAGATTTTGGATATATTTTGAAAGCAAGGGACTATTTTCAAAATCCATTTCCATATGATGATAAGATCCACATAAAAAGGCATTAAGCATATTCTTGAAAAAAAAAATCACGTTTTAAGAGCTCAAAAAACTTTGGAAAATTTAAATGTATGCAGCCCAAAAAGGCGTTAGATAAATTCAAAATAATTAGGAATATTAAATCCACATTTAAGACATTCAGGGGACCTTGAAAATATTATTCTCAATTTCACATTTAAGATCTTGTCTTTAATATCTTGAAATAATTAACGATTAAAAAAAACAAAGATTTTGGGGTTCATCAAGGCCTTGGAAAAATCGAGGCCATAAAAGCCTTAGAAATATTCTCTAAAATTCATTCTTATGAAGCTCATGAAGGCCATAAGAATATTCCTTAAAATCCAAGCTGATGAAGCTCATGAAGGCCTTGAAAATATTTCTTAAAAAGTCGGAGCTTTTGGAGCTCAGGAATAGCTTGAAAAAGTTCTCTATGAATCAACGCTCATGGAGCTTATGAAGCCTTTGAAAACTGTCATTAAAAATCCACCTTTATGGACCTCAGTTAGGACTTGAAACTATTATTTCAAAATCCCCGCTTAAGGGGCCAATGAGGGCCTTATGGAGCTCGTAAGGGCTTTGAAAATATTCTTTAAAAATTCTCGCTTATGAAACTCATGAGGGCTTTCAAAATATTCTTTAAAAATCCACGCTCATGAAGCTTATAAGGTTCTTCAAAATATTCTTTGAAAATCCACGCTTATGGGAATTTATAAGGTTCTTCAAACCATTCTTCGAAAATCTGCGCTATGAAGCTTATGAGGTTCTTCAAAATATTCTTTTTAAATCCACACTTAGGGACCTCAGTTGGGCCTTGAAAATATTCTTTAAAAATACACGTTTAGTGAGCTCATAAAGGACTTCCAAATTCTCTTTAAAAATACACGCTTGGTGAGCTCAAAAAGGACTTCCAAATTCTCTTTAAAAATCCACGCTCATAGAGCTAATGAGAACCTTAAATATATTCTTTTAAAATTCACGCTTATAGAGCTCATGAGGACCTTTAAAATATTATTTTAAAATCCCCGCTTATAGAGCTCATGAGGACCTTTAAAATATTATTTTAAAATCCCCGCTTATAGAGCTCATGAGGGCCTTAAAAATATTATTTTAAAATCCACGCTTATAGAGCTCATGAGGACCTTAAAAATATTATTTTAAAATCCACGCTTATAGAGCTCATAAGGACCTTAAAAATATTTGATAAAAATCCACGCTTATAGAGCTCATAAGGACCTTAAAAATATTCTTTAAAAATCCACGCTTATAGAGCTCATGAAGACCTTATAAATATTTTCTTTAAAGTTCACGCTTATAGAGCTCATGAGTACTTTAAAAATATTCTTTAAAAATCCATGCTTATAGAGCTCATGGAGACCTTAAAAATATTCTTTTAAAATTCACGCTTATAGAGCTCATGAGGACCTTTAAAATATTATTTTAAAATCCACGCTTTTAGAGCTCATGAGGACCTTAAAATATTATTTTAAAATCCACGCTTATAGAGCTTATGAGGACCTTAAAATGTTATTTTAAAATCCACGCTTATAGAGCTTATGAGGACCTTAAAAATGTTATTTTAAAATCCACGCTTATAGAGCTCATGAGTACCTTAAAAATATTTGATAAAAATCCACGCTTATGGAGCTCATGAGGACCTTAAAAATATTGTTTAAAAATCCACGCTTATGAAGATTATGAGGACTTTAAAATATGCTTTAAAAATCCATGCTTATGGAGCTCATGGAGACCTTAAAAATATTCTTTTAAAATTCACGCTTATAGAGCTCATGAGGACCTTTAAAATATTCTTTTAAAATTCACGCTTATAGAGCTCATGAGGACCTTTAAAATATTATTTTAAAATCCACGCTTTTAGAGCTCATGAGGACCTTAAAATATTATTTTAAAATCCACGCTTATAGAGCTTATGAGGACCTTAAAAATGTTATTTTAAAATCCACGCTTATAGAGCTTATGAGGACCTTAAAAATGTTATTTTAAAATCCACGCTTATAGAGCTCATGAGTACCTTAAAAATATTTGATAAAAATCCACGCTTATGGAGCTCATGAGGACCTTAAAAATATTATTTAAAAATCCACGCTTATAGAACTCATGAGGACTTTAAAAATATTCTTTATAAATTCCCGCATAGGGTTTAGAAAATATTCCTTAAAAATATTTTTTTTAATAAATAACGCTTGTGGAGCTCATGAAGACCTTAAAAATGTTTCTAAAAGATCCTCTCTTAGGGCCTTGAAAATATTCCTTAAAAATCCACGCTTAGTGCTTTGAGAATATGTATTTAATATCCCCGCTTAGTGCCTTGAGAATATTTATTAAATATCCCTGCTTAGTGCCTTGAGAATATTTTATGAAAAATATTTTTCAAAAATCCCCGATTATAGAACTCAGGAGGTTCTTGAAAACAAATTGGAAAACTCACGCTAATGTAGCTCATGAAGACCTTAAATACATTTGTTGAAAATCCAAACAAAAATAACTCATGAAGACCTTAAAAAGTTAAAGAGTTGATGGAGGTCTGGAAAAATTTATTTAAAAATCCCCTCTTATGGAGCTCAAGAAGACTTTGAAAATAATCTAAAAAATAACAATAATCTAAAAAAAATAGTTTTGAAAATCTATGCTTAAGGAGCTCATAACGACCTGGGAAATATTCTTCAGAAATCCGCGATTAAGTCCTTAAAGATATTCTTTAAAAAAAATCCGCGACGAAAGCGTTGAAAAATCCGTTAAAAATCCCCGCGGGGATGAAAGCCCTGAAGTTTTGCCTTAAACATCAACGATTTAGCTCAATAATAATGAAGACCATGAAAACATTCTCTTAAAATCGGAAAACGAATATTAAAGGGAAATCTTTAGAAGGATTCCCATTTGGAGAAGACCTTTAGGAGGTCTTCTTCACACATCTTCTATACTTAAAATACATTACTTCTAATACATATCTTCTCTTGGTCTCATGTATTATGTTATGATCTCTCAAAATTATAATCCCCTCTTCTCTCATTTTTTTGTAGATTCACCGCAACAACAACAATATCAAACACAACAACAACAACAGCAGCAACAACAACAAACAAAAACACATCCCAACGGTAGTATCATTTCAGGAATGGCCACACTATCACATCACATAAGAGCGCCACGACCACCAACACGGACAGCCTCCTCAACCAATCCCTCGTGTGGATCAGGGGGTGGAGGTGGCGTCGGCGGAAGTAGTAGTGGTGTCGGAGGCGGCAGTGGTTTAAATTCAAATTTGATCGATCAAACCCCTTCGAATGGTAGCAGTAGTAGCGGGGTCAGCAGTGCTCCCTCTTCGAAAGGCCACTCCCATCATCATGGCCATGCCCATACGCATGGCAGCACGACTGTCGATAATATCGGCATGACAACAACGTCATCGAGTGCGGTGGGCGGTGGGCCATCGCACCTGCAGCAACAGGTGCCACAGGCGGCAATAGATGAGATGCGCGTCTGATAGGTGTCGGTGTTCGAACTAGATTTATAGTCGTCTTCATGGTAAGTGTGAGAGTGAAATGATCGAAGAAGTTTTCGGATACTCCAAGTTTTTGGGGTCAAGGTACTGCAATTTGAGTTGAGAGTATATACTGACCTGTAAAGAGTCAACAAATGGATATTGTGTTGGTGTTAGTCATTCGGTAAAACTATAGAAACAAATTTGAGATTTTTCTGAAGTCGAGGTCGAATCTGAGCATCAAAATAATTGTTGTGAAAATTTTAGTTATACAAATAAATGGTAGATGAAATTTTGAGATTTCCCAAGGTTTTGGGGTCGAACTTATGTGGCCGAAGTCCACAACGGAATCTAACCCTTAGGTTGGAGTTGGAAAGTGAAGTCATTTTAAGGTTTCCCCTTGATTTGCAGTCGAGCTTATTCAACTAAAGTGGATGTTGGAGCCTGAGCCTCAAACCGCATCCGAAGTTGAAGGGTGAATGTTGTACTAATTTAAGTCACACAAATAAATGATAGAAAATTTTTGAGATTTTCAAAGGCTTTGATGTCGGACTAATGTAGAGGTTTAGCCCTTAGGTTTGCAGTTGGGAGATGGAAACAAAATTTATTTTACTTCCTCAGATAAACAATAGAAAAAATATTGAAATTGTGCATGGCTTTGGAGTTTGTAGTCTAAACTCAGCTCAGGAAGGTCTTAAAGATATTCTTTAAAAATCCACGCTCATTGAGCTCAGGAAGGTCTTAAAATATTCTTTAAAAATCCACGCTCATTGAGCTCAGGAAGGTCTTAAAATATTCGTTAAAAATCCACGCTCATTGAGCTCAGGAAGGTCTTAAAATATTCTTTAAAAATCCACTCTCAGAAAGAAAGGCCTTGCAAATATTCTTTAAAAATCCACGCTCATAAAGCTCTGGAAGGTCTTGAAAATATTCTTTAAAAATCCACGCTCATAAAGCTCTGGAAGGTCTTGAAAATATTCTTTAAAAATCCACGCTCAGAAAGAAAGGCCTTGAAAATATTCTTCGAAAATCCACGCTCATACGGCTCTTTAAAAATCCACGCTCATAAAGCTCAGGAAGATCTTGAAAATATTCTTTAAAAATCACGCTCATAAAGCTCAGGAAGATCTTGAAAATATTCTTTAAAAATCCACTCTAATAATGCTCGGGATGGTCTTGAAAATATTCTTCAAAAATCCACGGTCATAAAGCTCAGGAAGATCTTGAAAATATCCTTTAAAAATCCACGCTCATAGAGCTTAGGAAGGTCTTGAAAATACTCTTTAAAAATCCATGCTTATGGAGCTTCGGAAGATCGTGCAAATATTTTTTAAAAATCCACGCTCATAAAGCTCAGGATAGTCTTGAAAATATTCTTTAAAAATCCACGGATACAGGAATTGAAAAAAGCGTCCTCAACGCATATGGAGCTCATAAATTCTCCAATTTTGTAGAGCTCCTAAAACTCTTAAAAATATTCCTTAAAAAAACCATTTGTTAGAACTTATGAGGCCTTAACAAACCCACGTTTATATAAGTCCCCTAAAGCCTTAGAATTTTTTCAAGGCTTTGGGGTTGGATTAATGAAACCAAAGTCCAGGTTGAAGTCTGACCCTAAGACTGGAGTTGGGAAGTAAATGCGCAATTCATTTTAAGTCATTCCGATAAACGATAGAAAAAAATAAAATTTTTCTTGGGTTTGGCGTAGAGCTTTGGTCGAGGTTGGAGTTTGAGCCTCAAGTTGGAATCGAAAGGTGAATCTGAGATAATTTCAGTCATTCAGGTAAATTGTAGAATAAATATTCATCTTTTCCATTGATTTGATATTGAAGCGCTTCAGCTATAGTCCTGGTTGGAGTGTGAGCTTCAAGTCAGGGTGGACGCTGGATAGGGAATTTTTTGTTCATTTTCATAATTCTGACAAACGGCGCCTATTGACTACTCCTCGACACTGGTGCTGAAAGAAAAACTTGAACACGACTATGTTGCTCTGATTTTTCTACTCATTTAAAGATAAATGAACGGAATGAGATATCCTTGAAAAATTAGTGCTTTGCTAATAGCAAACATGTGAGGCACACTGAGGCCATGAACTCTCATGCCAGTTTTTCGGATAATTTGGTTCTTCCTCAAATTGCAGTCAGTACTATCATTCGAAATATTAACTAAAATCACACTTATTGAAACAGAATTTAATTTCGGTCCTTCAAAAATTCTCTGCATTTTTTTTTTTAAATTTTCAATTCCATGTTTACCTATTTTGTAGACTCCTCGATTTTTTTTTGCAACTCTATACCTTTATTTCACTTCAATTTGTTTTCTTCCTTATTTTCAATTTTACCTAATTATCCTTGTGCAATGCCTTGTTTATGTACATCCTTGTTTCATTATCTGTTGCACTTGACTAGATTTTTCGATTCGAAATTTTCCTTTGCCCATTAACTTATCTTTAAGTGTAGTCACTCAGTTACTCACTCACACATTTGCACTTATTACAAATATTCACACTAATAAAGAGGCGAGAGAGCATCATCGTTTCTCTCTATACGAATAGCGAGCGGAGAAGTCATTTAGCAAATAGTACGAGTAAGATTTCTTATCATTCAATTGAGCTGCTTAACGACAGGGAATTGTTAGTGCAATTGTTTGGAAGTGGCAATGGTAAAATGAGAAGATTTGAGAGGAAATCTATTGTGTGTGTGAGGCTGAGTGAGTATGGTGAATAAGACAAAAAAACTTTTAATAAATAAACAATTTCATGTTGTGAGATAATGGATTTTAATGAGCGGGATATTTAAACCACGAATAGTGCGTATGGAGACAATGTTATGAGAAAATATTGATTTGCTAAGGGAGAGACAGACAATAATTTCGCAACAAAATGGGCATACATTTACGATTCTCAGTGCCTAATAATTCCATTCTGACTGGCCTGGCGGTATTTGATATCTGGTACCAACTATCATTGATGTGGAGGGCATATTGCGAATGTCAGAGACTTAAACACCAAATAGGATGAAACATAAATATGGGAATCATGACTATATCTTAACCGATTTTCACCAAATTTGACACATATACAGAGTAATAAAAAAATAGGAACAAAGTCAAATACCATAATTTTTATTTTTCTTTTTTTTTTATTTATGAATGAAAGCATAAAATGTCGGAAATAACATTAAATTTTAGAATAAGTTTAGATTTGTTCAAATTGGTCACCTTTGGCACGAATTATGGCCTTTAAACGACCAATGAAACTGTCACACACTGCTCGAATTTTGCTCTGCGGTATTTTGGCCCATTCCAGGCGAAGCGCTTGCTTGAGGTGATCGACACTTTAGTATTTTTTAGTGCCAACCTTGCTTTCCAAAATACTCCAGACACAATAGTCCAACGGATTGGTATACGGAGATTTTTATGACTATTGTGCGCTGGAAATTAAGCGAGGAACCTCATATTCTAACCATTTTTGGGTGGTGCGTGCTGAGTGCGATGGTGCTGAGTCCTGTTGGAAGCCTCATCGTTTCCAAAGTGTTGGAGTTCACAAGGCTTTAATACAACCTCCAGAATATTTTCGCGATAATATTCGTCATTTATTCTGATGCCACGGTCGATAAATACTATCGGAGAGCGATCATCTGCTGTTATGGCGTCCCAACACCATCACCATGGCCGGCGCTTGAGTTCTGGTGGCCAACCGAAGGTGCACATTTTCAGCTGACCTCTTTGGCAAGTAAACACGATAATTATTTTTGTTTACAAACTGCTGGAGTACGAATGTTTTCTCATCGGAGTAAACCAAATTCGGCAGTTCACCACTTTCGGTCAAGCGAAGCAACTCTTTAGCTCTTTTGAGTCTATTTTCTTTCTGAAGTGGTGTAAGAAGTTCTTGGACTTTTTGAAATTTCAATGGCTTTACCCCGAGCTCATTTTTCAATATTTGCCGAATGGAATATTGCGTTATGTTTAGCTCACGAGCCATTTTTCGACCACTGCGACTCGGGTTTCGATCAAGTTGCTTCTTTACTTTTCGAACCATTTCTGCTGATGTTGCTGTTTTCTTCCGTTCACTTTCTTGACGTCGGGCTACGCTACCAGTAACGAGCGATGGTACCATACACAAAAGATTTATTCACATTTAAATGCTGTAGTGCTCTAACGATAGCCACTTGTGGTTTTCCAAACCAAATATAAAGAAACCACACTATCACGCTTTAATTCCAAATCACGAATAATTTTTTTTTTCTGGAAAATTCTCACCAAAATGCTTTTGTACGCTTGTACCTTTTGTACCTGTCACTGGAATAATTTTAACAGCTGTCGGACGAGTGGCTTAGAAATGACAGCAGTCTGAAGTTGGTTGCAGTTTTTTTCATCTCTACCCTCTCTAGCCATATGACTGAGGATATACAAAATTTCTCCTCATGAACAAATTTCAGGATTATCTTCGATGTTCCTGGATTTTCGTTATAACTGGGATTTCGTCTACTAAAATTTTCTGCCTCAGAGTGTAGTGTATACCCCCTCTAGCCATATGACTGAGGGTATACAAAATATTGTCCCCTCATCAACAACTTTCAGGATTATCCTCGACGTCTCCGAGGAACTCTTATGTCCAGGTGTCTATGAGAACCGGGGTTTTTGTTATAACTGGGATTTCGTCTAACAAAATTTTCTGCCTCAGAGTATTGTGCCCATTAAGAAGGCCAAATACTCAAAATGTGGAAAATGTTGCAACAATCAATATCGGGAGGTACTTTTAAATGGGAGCTATATGAAAGCGTGGCCCGATATACACAAATTTCAGATATAACACACCTATGGCCAAAATTATAGCCATGAAGGTCGATCCCTTTCAAAGTTGGAGTGATTACCTTTGATGAACAGACGAGCATGTTTAAGTCGTCTTAGAATTTCACACTAACCAAGAATACATATTTTCTTTATTGGATCTTAAGTGACCATTTCGATGAGTTACACAGGAAAGGACAACCTCAATGTACCCTCCTCCATACCATAGTGAGGGGTATAAAAGGAATATGCC